TTGTGTGTGTGTGTGTGTGTGTGTGTGTGTGTGTGTGTGTGTGTGTGTGTGTGTGTGTGTGTGTGTGTGTGTGTGTGTGTGTGTGTGTGTGTGTGTGTGTCTGTGTCTGTGCGTCTGTGTCTGTGCGTGTGTGTGTCTGTGTGTCTGTGTACTGCGTGTCTGCGTGTCTGCGTGTCTGTGTCTGCGTGTCTGCGTGTCTGCGTGTCTGCGTGTCTGCGTGTCTGCGTGTCTGCGTGTCTGCGTGTCTGCGTGTCTGCGTGTCTGCGTGTCTGCGTGTCTGCGTGTCTGCGTGTCTGCGTGTCTGCGTGTGCGTGTCTGCGTGTCTGCGTGTCTGCGTGTCTGCGTGTCTGCGTGTCTGCGTGTCTGCGTGTCTGCGTGTCTGCGTGTCTGCGTGTCTGCGTGTCTGCGTGTCTGCGTGTCTGCGTGTCTGCGTGTCTGCGTGTCTGCGTGTCTGCGTGTCTGCGTGTCTGCGTGTCTGCGTGTCTGCGTGTCTGCGTGTCTGTGTGTCTGTGTGTGTCTGTGTGTGTCTGTGTGTGTGTCTGTGTGTCTGTGTGTGTCTGTGTGTGTCTGTGTGTGTCTGTGTGTGTCTGTGTGTGTCTGTGTGTGTCTGTGTGTGTCTGTGTGTGTCTGTGTGTGTCTGTGTGTGTCTGTGTGTCTGTGTGTCTGTGTGTCTGTGTGTCTGTGTGTCTGTGTGTCTGTGTGTGTGTGTGTGTCTGTGTGTGTGTGTGCCCCTCGCCAACCGTCACTTACCCGGAATCCCAGTCCCAGCAAGGGCACTCACCTTCAAATGGTGGTGTTTTCAGCCACTAAAGAGGGAAGTGTATGGGTATGGGTCAAAAATAAACCACCAGGGGACCGCAGGTCTTGGTCCATGCTTCCATTTAGCAGAATTCCATTTTGGGTACACCACAGCCATATGGGGAGCCCTCTCTCCGGGTGTCTGGGGAATTGTGGATACCCTTGCTGGCTCCGGACCTGGCCGGCCTCTGTTTGCATCTCGCAGAACTTCCCTGCCTCACGATTTGGCCAGAGGGATGGCTCCTGATTTGTTTTTGCGTGGTCATGGAGACTCCAGGGGTCTTTTTGTGGGTACCCTTTTTGGTGTGTTTACGGTGTGTTTGGAAAGCTCTGGATTGCTCCTTTGCCTCATCATCACCAGCAGTCGCTCATTTGCACGTCCCTGAACCCCTGGCAAGTGCCCAAACAATTTTGCTGTATCGGGGGGCTACTGTCTTTGGGAAGCGCGAAGTGCTTAATTAATTTGCGGGCTTGAAAGCTAAAGCTCAAATGTCTTTACAGCTGCCTTAGCTCGATGCTTTTAGAAACCGCCATGCCCAGGTGAAGGAAGCGCCACAAGCTGATGATCCTCTAATCACGACTATCTGCTGACCCGCTCTGGTATTCAACCTCTGCAATTCTAACATTTTGAGTATTTCACATTGAGTAAGTTCATGCTGAGCTGGGCCTTCCCTGCATTAGACTCTCTAACTTTATAAAAGGCATTTGGTAAATTCTTGCTCCCCCCCCCGGCAAGCCCCAAACAAATGGAATGGAATGATTCCAGAACCCACCTCCCCCCATAAGCCATATTGAAATTTACGCCAGAGCTGTAGCAATCCCCTGGTTTCGCCTTTGGGCAATACATGCGCAGCCTTGAACCTTTCAGCTCACGAAGTGCAGCCACAGGACTCGAGCAAACAATATGTCTAGGCTGGAAAATTCGGACCCCAAAAAGGAGATATTTGTTGCCTTGGTGGAAAACAAAGGGGACCCCCAAAAAACAAAAATGGAAAAAGGGGAGCTAATTCTGGGGAAGATGTCGGCTATTGACAAAAGGCCTCGCCTCAACACGACTTCGGCGAGTTTGTGTCTATTCCCCCAAGCACCACGCCCGAGAATTTATACAAACTCTTGGCTCTACGTGTTTTCACCAAAGACACGGAACCCCCAGGCAAAAGGGCTGGGTTTCCGTGAAAACTCACCGGCTCACACACACACACACCCAATGTAATGTTAAACCCAGATCGATAAAACCCTGGAGTGTCGGGGGAGGCAGAAAGCCTGCAACCCTCAAGGGTTGCACATGGTAGCAAGCCTGCAACCCTCAACTCACTTGCCTAAAGGAGCTGGAAACAAAAGGTGAACCTTGTTGGACCTTGACTAAACATAGACCAAACTGGGGAAACCAAAAGGTCATAGGTCGATCCGCTTTGGGTTACCCCCTGAATCCGCTGAAAGTTGTTTTTCGCAAACCGCATATCGCCCAGCAAGCCACACAAGCCACAGCAAGCCCAAGCCACACGCCCGAAGCAAGCGCCTCAGTGGCACTGAAGTGCTTTGTGGCCCGTTTCTCCACGGGAGGAGGCCTGCGCTCACAGCGACCGCTCGGCTTGGGAGGGTGGGGGGAAAAGGGGGGGCTTCGTCTTGTTCTCTGGGGGGAACCCCCCCGGCCAAAAACAAAATGGCGGTTCTTACCGTTGATTCCCAGGTACAGTCCTTAGGCCTTCTCACTGAGAGGCTGTAGGTTTCACCCCTAACATGACTTGATGCGAACGCGAGAGGTATAAAACAGGGCGGTTCTTAAGGGAAAGGTCTTTGAACATGCTTCAGCCATGGGTGGGGGGGCTCGTCTTTTTTGGAGGGAAGAAACTTGAATCAATATGTGGCAGTCTCAAATCGAACAGGTGTTGCATGGCTCTTACCTTCAGGGGGATGGGGTTCAGGTGCCTGAGTTCCGTCCAGGCCTCCGACACAAGGGCATTGCAGCAAAATAATGAAATCCAGGGCAAAGCCCTCGCAGCCTCTCCAATACTGATGCAGAGCAAGGATAGCCGTGGAAAGGTCATGACTCTTCATGTCAGCCCGATATTGATAATTCGGGGCAATCGGCCCAAGGCAAGCCCCGTTTCCCAACAATACTCAATAAAGCAAGTACCACTACTGAAGCTAGTTGACTGCCTTCACTGTACGACGCTCCCTGGCGTCTGCCAAGGCTCCAACAATCATAAATACCCCATAAAACGAGTATTACTCAAATTCCCCAAGGCCATTTTGGTACTATGAGTACGTCAAGCAGTGTTACAAGTACTACAAGCAGTACTGCAGCGTATCAACGTATTTAAGTTGGACCTGGAGTTGTCTTTGGTTCCTCCCCCTCCCCCCAAGAGGGTGGCCACTGTGTTAGTATGAAGCTGACATTGATGGACGGCTAGGCTGCAATGGCTCCGTTGTTGCCATTCCTCGGCATCAGTATTGCAGTATAGCTATATAGGACCCTGAATAACCAATAGTCACTAGGCTGCAATGGTTATGACCCTGAAAACTTGCCTATGACCCTCTCTCAATTTCAACATCCATTTGATGCATGGCTTTCAGATGATGTGCTACGTGATCCACCCAATAAAAGTCCCTAGAGCTCTTGCGAGCTCTTGGTTTCTGAAGGCCAATCCAAATCTAAAGGAAGCAAGACAAACATAATTTTGGAGTGCCTTTAAACAGCCAAAATGACTACCTGGACCCACAAACTACCCAGAAACAGTGGGAATTCACCCCAGCATGTTGAGCAAACACCCATATTTAAGTTGGATTTGAGAGGGTTTAGGTATACTATCGGGCAAGAAATTCTTCTACAGTCAATCCATGCCAGAACGGCATCCAGCATCATAATTTATATCAAGCCTTGCAGGGAGGCATACTCGGCATGGTGGAACCGTTCTTGTTTCTTTCGCATTTCGCTGGAGCACCAGTCATTGCCGGTGCAAAGTCCATTGGCTGGATTACATGCCGTCGTTGCGCCCGCCAACTCGAAACAAGGCGCCGGCAACACCTCCTGTCGCATTGCACACACATCCCAACAACATATTCCATCAATTGAAGACATCAACCAGGCGGGCATGGAACAAGCATCCGTATGCGTTGAAAAATAGGGATCTGGGACTCGCCAAATGGTGGTTGTCCTTTTGGATCGTTTCGGTGTCCCTTTCAATCAAGGTAAACAGCCATAAGAAGGGGACCTGCAAGAAGCACACACCCAGAGTGTCATGCTACTGGAGGCTTTTCTGCGATTCTTTCCAGCAGCCCAATTAAGCCGCCAAAGAAGACTTGCTGCGAAGCTGACCCGTCTGGAGTCTCCGTGCTCAGCATCGGCGAACCAAGAGGAAGCCATCTGCACAAATAACAAGGGTCACTAGATTCTCCTTCCAAAACTTGCAATTTGCTGGTGGGTTTGCAAGAAACTGGACATGGATGGAAAGGAGCTGCAATGGTGTTTTTACCTTGTGCGTAAGCCTTGTCTGCAAGAAACGCTCCGCCGATCTTGGGGTCCAAATTTGTTGCATGTGTGAAACATGGCAAACATCTATGATGACAGCACCTTAAACCGAGACCCAGTGATCTGTAGAAACCAAATGAAACTTGGATCGACGGGTTACCTCCTGTGCTGGTAACTGGAATCCACTGGGAGATTGCAACAAACAACTCAAAGTCGCCAGGGTCAAAACAAGCCCAACCACACCAGTGAAGGCATTCTGGCACCAAGATCAAGGGACCAGGGGCCCAACCACACTGGAACTGGGTCATCCGTGATCTGATCATGCCAGAAGGTGCAAGAGGCTTCCCTTCCTTTTTTTTTAACCTTTTCGCCCCCCGGAAAAAAATGAGAAACTATTCGGTAGTGATGGACGTTTTTTTCAAAAAACCAACAGGGGGCAATCAGCATATTTGGAAGATGCGCCTCAGCTTCCCCTCAGAGGGAACGGGTCCCTGTCAGGAGCCATGTTACTGGGAGGGAGGGGGGGCCCCCTGAAAAAAGGCGACAGGTGATGCCACTGTTGGCAGAGAACTGACCGAGCCCAGGGGAATTCTCCATTCGTTCCATGTTTTTGTGCGCGTTTGGCGACACATATGACACATATTGACACTGGAAGAGTTGCGGTTGTTGCAAGGGAGGACTCGATCCACGTTTCTATAAGTGGGTAGACACAACTACAGTAAGCATATCAGTCACCCTGCAGTTGGCTTCAGATCAACTTTGAGGGACAATTGAGCAAAGTGGAATAGTGGAATATGGGCTGCTTTTTACAGCCACCAGGACACAGCCTTTCTGCGATCGGGTTTTTGGTCGCTGTTTTTTTGTTCTACGTCCTCATCTGCGCATCTCACCAGGCAGCTGGGTCTTGAACCTGCAAAGGCAGCAAAGGTGGCAGAAAGTCGAAGGCACGAGCCAAGATGGAGGTGGATATGTGGCTGCGACGTCATGACAGGACGCAGGAAATATGGAATATGACTTTGAGGCGAAGCAAGACATAGCTTTACCCTCAGACCCACATGTGGCGCCAGTCTCAATAGTCAAGTTGAAAGGGACACTACAAAAGGAACAGAGGGGCTGAGTCCCACTGAACCCATGCTGAGACACAACAAAAACATGAGACAACCTTTGCTCCTGAAGGGCGAGCCCCCGGGGACTTCCCCGTTAAAAGTCACGGAGCCCCCCAAATCCTAGTAGAGTCCCTTTGCAGTCAAAATAGGGGGGCTCCAAGCATCAGCCTGCAAAACCATCACCCTTCAAAAAAATATCCCCTTTCCCCTTAAAGCATCACCCTCTCAAAACCGCGAAAAAGAGGACATCTCGGGAGCTCTGTTCCCCTTAACGCATCACCCTCTCCAAACCCATCCCCTTAAAACCATCACCCTTTCTTCATCCTCTAAAAAACCGCAAACAGAGATGACATCTCGCGAATCCTGCCGCGTCCGACGATTCAAACCCCGACTTCGCCGGGCGCACACGTCCGCGGCCGGGGCCGCCGGAGTGCGGCCCAGAAGCGCGGGCAGGTCCGACCTAACGCAGACAAAGGTGAGGGCCGAAATGGGCGGCTCGTCTTTTTCTCTCACTTCCTGAGTGGATTGGCCAAGAGCAAGTCTGAACTTTCTGTTTACCACTCAAATGATCTTCCCAAAAAGATTTAAGTCCAGGAACTCATGGAGTGAGTTGTGAGGGTACCCCTTTTTTTGTGGTTTTATGGGCAAGCCAAAGGACAACCTACCATGTTGTGGGGTCCCCTCACAAAAGACACACACACAAATAGAACAGGATTCGGGGTGCCAAGCCACATTTAGTCATGATGGGAGTAGATCATAAGTAATTTGTTAGGCGTTTATATTACAAATGGCACAATATGTAGTTGGGCAAGTAAAGGGGATGCCTAAATTTAAATGGGTCGGTTGGAAATGCGCCATCCACTTTCACCCAACTGTGCATGCCCTCAGAAGCCCACTGGCCATTCAAAAACGGCACACTGTTTGCTGCTGGTTGGTTAGATAACCCGTCCAAAAAAAACACAAAGGGTGTGACTGGGCAGCTGGGTACCCTTCATATCCCCACTGATGTTATACGTTCATTATCATGTACTGGGCATTGTAGTTTCTTCTTGGCATGCTTTGTCTTGGATCCTTATTCCCAAGAACATACTTGAAGCTTAAATGATCTTAAATGGACCCAAACTGATTTGGGGAGTATGTTTGGGGGTCGGGTAGCATCCTTATGAGACTTGTGAGCTGTAAGTCCCCACAAAACAGCTGCTTAAGCAATCAAGGAGTTGGTCCCAGTTGCCCCCGCGCAACCCTTTTTGCGGCCCGACCAAGGGGATGTAGACTCCGAGGTGGAATCTACAGAACTGGGGGAAACCTAACAACCTTGTGCTCTGAGGGGATGGCTCAATCCAGGGGCTAAAAAGTGAAGAACTTGTAGACTTCTTGCATCGCAATCTGGGTAGAGGTAGAGATACCAGTTCAACTTGGTGCGCGGAGATCATCATCTTTATTCCCACAAAGTCTGAAGATCCCAACCGCATATGTGGGTGATTACAAAATGCCAGTTTGTGGGGGGTTTCATCCATCCCAACTGTTCCGATCAGCACTGAAACAGTAACTATCCACGTGAGCTCACTTTCCAAGTGGATGCCCCAAAAAAAGTCGCCAACCGTTTGAATTTACCACTAAAAGGGTTTTCCCAAAAGGTGACTCAAGTCCAGGAACTCGGGGAGGGAGGACAGCTGGGCTCTTCTTGCGGCCCCCGGCGAAAGAGGAGGAGGCGGAGGCGGAAGCACGTGACCTCTTACCAGCGCGCTGAAAAATGGGCAACCTTGGTTTTGTTGCTGTTGCGATAGGCTGAAGGAACCCAGGCTTTGGTCCCCCGAGGAATCCACCAGTTGCAAGATGGTCCCTTTCTCATTCTGGACACCAGCAAGTTCTGTTTTCGGTTTTGACTTGGATTTGGGCCACTCAGCCAGGGAAACAAAGCTGTTGACAATGGGACACCTGCCAAGATTGAAAACGGAAGCAACCCCGCTCGCGGCGAGTGGGGCTCATAGCTCATCTTACCTTACCTATAGTTAAACCACGTGAACGAATGCCCAGAGGGCCCCTTAGTACCTAAGGAGGTCCATGTACTTTTTACCCCGTAAAAGCATCCTCGTGAGGTACCAAGGGACCTGGGATGGGTAGTGAGGGCAACGCATCAATTTCCAGATTGTGCCTCCAATCGAGGACCAGCCTCAAATCTGCTCAAGTACCAAACATAAATGCATGTAAACAACATATTCAGACATACCATACCACGCCAAGGAATGCTAGTTACTCATCAGACTTCCTGTAAAGTTGAAGCCCCACCTAAACTTAGTTCCCGAGGGGATGGCCGAAAAGAAAACCAAACGTTTTTGTTTACCACTAAAATGGTCTTCCCAAAAAGAAACTAAAGTCCGGGGAGTGAGTTAATCATGTCCACCAAATAATGCTAAGAATATTTTCAGAGGCAAAAATAATCAACAACATGCATGCCAAGTCAGCGGGCCAATTTGCGCGCTCCGTCAGCCCAAGACAAACAACGAGCTGATGCCAAACATACCCTCGTGCTTGGGAGGCTACCCTTGTTTTCTGGTTTTAAAGGAAAACCACAGACAAACCCACCAAAAAAGGCGACACGAACTCAACATAGTATGTTTGCGCAGCCTCCGAATATGCGCAAAGCCAGGACAAGAAAAACACGGCCCCCCCAAGGATTCTATTCGACAATCCGGCGAAAGCCAATCATTTGAGTGGTGAGGAGGGCTTTTTGTTGACCTTCACAACCCTTGGTACGGTGGCAACAACTCGTAACAACTTGCTTTTTGCAGCCCCTTCTAAAAATGAACAGAACCAAACAAGTAAAAACCAAACGACCTTGCCAACAACACTCCATCAACCGGGAAACATCTCTGGCCAAAAGTGCAAATCATATTTTTGGCATGCCACAATTGTCAGTCTAAAGAAACACACCCTAAAGAAAGGTTGAGAACTCCTCAAAATTGGCTTGGTCTCAAAATTGGGAACCTCCAAAAAAGGTTGGTTTCCTTGTCTCACTTCCTGAGCAGCTGGGCCAAAACAAGTCCAAACTTTTGTGTGTCTAATTACCACTACAATGGGCCTCCAAAAAGCTGAAAGTTAAAACCAAGCAGCAAAGGATTCCCTAAGGGCCTAACGCAACGGTGCCACCCCTTCCTCGGCCTCTGGGCGGCGGCGGCCGCGCGGCGGGCTCATACGCCTGGCGTATCTCTGGTCTGGACGGGTCGTTCGCTTGCGCAGAATGAAGATGCACATAAATACATATAGCGACACTCTTGTTGCGAACGATCTTCTATTTGAATGGTATGGGTGCGACCCCTGTCAGAGATCTTCTGATTGAATTACACAGTGGCTTGGGGTTTCATTTGTGTGGATCATATGAGGACCCATATGAGCTAGGCAATGTTACCAGTAGTCCATGTCGATTTGTGGGAGGACAAAGGTGGAGCAGCCCAATTCCCTTTCTTTGCAGGCGAGTCTGACTTGCCGGTGCTGAAAAAACGATTGGAATGTGGTTGAGTGAGCTGTTTTCGGCTTCCCTAAAACAGGACACTACTTGTGGGATAGGTGGGAATGAAGGAAACTACTTATGGGAGCTAGCTCCGAGGGACCCAGGGCAGGCGCAGCTCCGTAGGCGGAGACAGCTCCAGCCGTCTTGGGGCTGGCTCTGCCTACCGGCAGAGCCAGCTCCCAGGGCCGCAGGAGGCGGAGTCAGCTCCACGAGTAGGCGGAGCCAGAGCCAGCTGCGGGGGTCCCAGGGCAGCCGCAGGCAGAGTCAGCTCCAGGCGAGTAGGCGGAGGGTTCCATCCAGCAGGCGCAGGCGGAGTCAGCTCCACGAGTAGGCGGAGCCAGAGCCAGCTGCGGGGGTCCCAGGGCAGCCGCAGGCGGAGTCAGCTCCACGAGTAGGCGGAGCCAGAGCCAGCTGCGGGGGTCCCAGGGCAGGCGCAGGCAGAGTCAGCTCCAGGCGAGTAGGCGGAGGGTTCCATCCAGCAGGCGCAGGCGGAGTCAGCTCCACGAGTAGGCGGAGCCAGAGCCAGCTGCGGGGGTCCCAGGGCAGCCGCAGGCAGAGTCAGCTCCAGGCAAGTAGTTCCATCCAGCAGGCGCAGGTCCACGAGTAGGCGGAGCCAGAGCCAGCTGCGGGGGTCCCAGGGCAGGCGCAGGCAGAGTCAGCTCCAGGCGAGTAGGCGGAGGGTTCCATCCAGCAGGCGCAGGTGGAGTCAGCTCCACGAGTAGGCGGAGCCAGAGCCAGCTGCGGGGGTCCCAGGGCAGCCGCAGGCAGAGTCAGCTCCAGGTGAGTAGGCGGAGGGTTCCATCCAGCAGGCGCAGGCGGAGTCAGCTCCACGAGTAGGCGGAGCCAGAGCCAGCTGCGGGGGTCCCAGGGCAGCCGCAGGCGGAGTCAGCTCCAGGTGAGTAGGCGGAGGGTTCTATCCAGCAGGCGCAGGCGGAGTCAGCTCCACGAGTAGGCGGAGCCAGAGCCAGCTGCGGGGGTCCCAGGGCAGGCGCAGGCGAAGTCAGCTCCAGGCGAGGCGGAGCCAGCTTCGCGGGTCCCAGGGCAGCCGCATCCAGCTCTGTGGGCAGAGCCAGCTCTTGGCGGCAGGCGGAGCCAGCCCCGTCGGCAGTAGGCAGCGGGGGTCCCAGGACAGGCGCAAGCGGAGTTAGCTCCAGGCGACGGAGCTCCGGGGGTCCCAGGGCAGGCGCATCCAGCTCTGTATGCGGAGCCAGCTCTCCGCTTGCCCCGTCGGCAGCAGCAGCTGCGGGGGTCCCAGGGCAGGCGCAAGCGGGGGCAGGTCCAGGCAGGTAAGCGGAGCCAGCTGCGGGGGTCCCAGGGCAGGCGCAGGGAGTAGGCGGAGCCAGCCGTAGCAGCTCTCGGGGTCGAGCCAGCTCCGGGGTCCTAGGGCAGGCGCAGCCAGCTCCGGAGGTCCCAGGGCGGCTTGGAAGTAGGCCGCTGGTTGGCAGGCGCAGCCAGCTCCAGTCCGGGCTCCAGGGGTCGCACGAAATGGGCAGAACACGCAAAAAACCCGCACCCAGTTCAAAGGAGAAGGAAAAGGGTAGCAACCCAGCCAGCCCTGAGCTTTTTCCGGGGAGGGCATAACGAAATTGTGGATTTGCAGCCACTTGCTCTGGGGTACTTTTTGACGAATCGACTCAACGAGGCACCCACCGGAATTGAAGACATTGCACAAACCTTCAACAGACAGGTTTTTCACATTCGACCGGGGAACGCATGGTGCGATTCAAATAGAACATCATGAGCATGTTCGAGTCCAAAATATGGTTTGGAGGTAGCAATTGCAATTCCCCAGATCTTGTCTAACAGCATCACGGAATGTTTGTTTTACTTGTTTGTGTTTTATTGAGCAGCCTTTAGCCTTTGTAACCAAATAATAATGATTTTCGTGGCAAGCCGACAGCACTTCCCCACTAAATATCCAAATGAAACCAACAAACAACCTAACGACTCCAGCAGGATACCCAAAGGAACCTGGGAGCATCCAGGGTTCAAACTGTAGGCTGGGGAGCTGGAATCTGAAGACATGCGTGTGGTTTGCATCAAGGTCAGGAACCGACCACTTTGGGTGACGTCGCGTCACCATGATTCGCCCAGAATAACATTGAACGAATCACACAAACCAAGCTGTCCAGCTGTGCTTTGCCGTGCGTTAAATTGAACGGGTACTCATGTCGTCAGCAGCTGGTCTCGTAGCTCGGAAGCAGTGCTAGGCCGGACCATCCGAGGCCACCACTTAAAAGCGAAATCTTTCGGGAAAAAGCAATAATCACAAACATTAAACAAGCAAAGAAAACACATTACACAACACATTTGAAAACACGTTCAACAAGATATTAAAAACAAAACATCAAGCAGCATTTGAGTCATAATCAAAACCCGGTACAAAAATGGTCTACCCAGAATCATGTAAAGAATTCAGAAGGCGGCCGCAACTATTTCTGGCTGGGACTGTCCCTTGCCAACATTCATCTACCCGGGTTTTGATCGTATCTCAGTTGAAACGACCTTTATTAAACCAAAAAAGCATAAACACAACAAACAAAAGCATTAAACGACACCCACGCAAAAAACAAAAAAAAAAAGAAAACACAACATGAACAAGCCCATTAAACAAAACAACATCACCACTGGAGGTCAGTGAGCCTTCAAAGGAACACCTGCCGGTCTGACTCCGCCTGCCAGGCCGCGGGTAATCGGGTCCTGCGGTTTTTGCTCGCTCTTGGAAGCGCGGCTCGCGGCGATTTTTCGGTGTTTGCGACTGATACCGTGGAGGGAAGACATCCTGCACCTAAGAAACCCTTGGTGAGTTCTGTGCTTACCACTGAGGAGTTTCTGAATTTTACACCCTGGGAGTACACCCTTCAAGGTCCAAAATGACATGATTTTCTCCCGGAAATAGGCCTAAATGGGGTCATTCCCCAGTTTTCTTCAAAACAACCTCCCCCCCACCCCTCTTTATCGAAGCGATCTTCACACACACACATATATATATATATATTTGTGTATATACACTAGTTTGCCGCTGCCTCACTGAAATGATCTTGCCTAAAAAGTGGTGTTGTCTTTGTTCAAGGTCATGGGGCGAATACAACACATCGATTTTCAACCAAACTAACCCAAGGACGCCCAAACCAGTGGAAACCATCTATGTTTCACCAAACCCATCAAAAGAACACCGAATGTTGACCCCAGATTAAAAAGCCCGTCCTAATAATAGGGGGGTGTTCCCTCCACAAGTGATGACTCTCCACTAAAAAGGGACAGGAGTTTGTTAATCCGGGTTCCCACTACCTTTTGCAGGTTGGTTTAGACACCAACACGGAAATCCACCTTTCTGTGACATGGAAGCATACTTGGTCGCTCCACTGTAGGGCCTTCATGGGAACGATCAAGCGTCAGCACCTCACAACGGGCCTTGCCCAAGTCCGGTTCTACGGGTATTTGGCTGGTTCATTCGCCTTCAAGTAAGGCTCAACGGCGGCAAACCACACTAGCAGGATCACCACCCCCCCCGCCCAAACCAGGGAAGAAAAGATGAGACTGATTCTCAGAATAGGAATCAGTCCCCAAACATGGCAGGCTTGCTGTCGTTTCCCTTCAAAACCAAAAGGGCGACATTTGCAGAAACTTTCAGGAAAAACAAACCCAAGGCTTGTGGGTTCCTAATTCACCCTAGAACGCCTAGTCAGAACATCGAGACAGGGGAAAAGCGGAAGGTTTTGGAAGTTGCGGTGGTTTTCACTACCCCCAAACCGAAGCAACCTGCACAGGTGTGATGGAAGATGCAACTCTACCCTCAAGCGGGGCTACCGGGAGGGGGGGCTATCCCTTTTCCAGGCTTATCCTCGGCTTATCCTAGGCGACAAATGGTATACGTCCGGTTGTTCTGGGGGTAGTGGTTTTGGGGGTAGTGGAAATCTTGGATAATCGATCCAGGCAAACCCGCTCCAAAGAAACAAACATCACTGGATGCCCCTCGAAGTTTGATCAACTTGCTGGTGGTTTCCACTCAAACTGCCCACTTTTGGAGCTTCCCTTTGGAGGGCACTAGAGGTTCGGATGCAGCCACACACAACTGGAACAGCTCCTGTTCGCAGGCAGTGGTGCTTGCCCACCTGAAGCTGCGATCTGTTTTCGGGGACCCCCAAAGCGAGCTTCGGAGTTCCTTTGGGTGTCCCTTTAACAACCCACCATGCAAGGGGTACCCTCAAAGAAAGACACGCCCGGGGGAGTGTTCACCCCCTTCATAATAAACCCTTCCTTTTTTAAAGGGGACCCCCCAAGGTAAAGGAGCCTGTCTAGATAGGACCTATCATTCAAGAAAAGGCCTATTTCAAACGCCCCTTTTCTAGGGAGGGCAGACCCCTAGAGTCTTTCCAGCTCCCAAACACTTCCCATCCCTGCTTTGTGTCTTTGCCGAAATGGGTGTGTCACCACTGTACCGCTATAGCTAACTGTAGCATTACCACTATACCCCGTTACCCATGTGTTTTGTTACCTCTTGGACGTAGCCACTTACCAGGGCTGTCCTCAGATCCCAGAACCTGATGGCTGGGGTGTCCAAGTGAAACATGTCTTGGTCCTCGTTTTTCAGCGGCACCTGCCAAAAACCCAGGCCCCGTTGGGGTTGATGTTTGGGTGCGGCATGTGGACCTCAAAACTGGGGACTCAGTTGCCCAAAGGACCTAGAAATCAAAGGCGATCACCTTTTGCCATGACTGAAAACGGACCAAGGGAATCAAGGGAAAACCAAATGGTCAAATGGTCGATTCGCTTCGGGCAAGTGAGAAAAAGGTCCAACCACTTTGAGGTTGTTCCCGGTTAGAATTCCCTGTTCGCGGTGGACTGTCTGATTGTCGGGACAAGGGTGCCACTGAACAACTGCGGGAATGCACAATCCCGAACTAAGACATGGGTATGGGTCAAAATTATACCACCAGGAATTGGACCGCAGGTTTTAGTCCTTGGTTCCATTTACCAGGGCAACCCATTTCGGGGACCTATTTTTGACGCCACAGCCACATGTCCAAGCAAGCGAGCAGCCCTCCCGCGCCTCCTGCATCGCTCCGAGGGAGCGCCTGGAGAGGGTCACAGCTGAGCGGTGGCGCGGTGCGCCAGCTCCCGTGGGCCAGGGGGTCAGTCAAATCAAACATCAGGGTACTCTGCTGATAAGAGCCTATCTTGTGGGCCTATTTTGGGTCGGGTTCATAGCTCGTCTTGCCTAAACTCCCCATTCAACAAAGGGTCCATGACCATACCAACCGCAAGGAAAAGGCAGTGGGCGCCAACAAGACACTTGGCACTTTAAAAAGATACCTAGGGGTGCATGTGATTGTGTGCGCGGGCAAACTTCCGACTCCAATCCACCGATGATTTCTCTGGGTTGCAGGCATGACTTTGATGCCTTTCTGGCTTGGATTCAAAGGAAAACCAAAAGAACAACCCATTGTGGGCGATCCCATTCCCTAGTGTAAGACACACCCATTTCTTAATTCAAGTTGCGAAAGTCAAACTCTCATTGTAAAGCCTGGATCAACCCAACAGCTGTCAGCATCTGGACGCTGCGCCCGCATTTGTTTGCTTCCGTAGTTCCACGTCCAGAAATACAACACGTCTCCCGCGTGTACGCCATATTCTCTCTCCGACAATCAAATTCATGGGAGGGTTTTGAAATGCGAACACTTGCCATTTGGGGAAACCCCTCCTCCAGTTCCATGCGTTTGTGTGAGTGTGAGTGTGAGTGTGAGTGTGTGTGTGTGTGTCTGTCTGTCTGTCTGTCTGTCTGTCTGTCTGTCTGTCTGTCTGTCTGTCTGTCTGTCTCTGTGTCTGTCTGTCTGTCTGTCTGTCTGTCTGTCTGTCTGTCTGTCTGTCTGTCTGCCTGCCTGCCTGCCTGCCTGCCTGCCTGCCTGCCTGCCTGCCTGCCTGCCTGCCTGCCTGCCTGCCTGCCTGCCTGCCTGCCTGCCTGCCTGCCTGCCTGCCTGCCTGCCTGCCTGCCTGCCTGCCTGCCTGCCTGCCTGCCTGCCTGCCTGTCTGTCTGTCTGTCTGTCTGTCTGTCTGTCTGTCTGTCTGTCTGTCTGTCTGTCTGTCTGTCTGTCTGTCTGTCTGTGCGTGCGTGCGTGCGTGCGTGCGTGCGTTTCATCTCCTTTGGAAGATGTCTACTTGCTAGCTCGTGCGAGGCCTTGAAGGAAAATGTATTTTCAGGGCTAGGCTTCCCGAAATGCTGTCTTTGCATAACCTCACCAAAGGGAACCTGATTTGACATGCCCCTTCGGGGTGGGGTCATCACAAAGCGGGGCCAAGCAGGGAAGCCAAAGGCTTAAAAGGTCGGCTTAGGCAAGTGAACCAAAGGTGATGGTTATACCAGCTGAATAGGGAGCACCGCTTGCTTCGAGATGCAAAAGCTGTGTGTGTGTGTGTGGTGAACATCCCTCTTTAGGCTGAAATCTAGGAAGGTTCCCCATGCAATGGGGCACAATGTCAGAGTTTAAGTCAGGTCTAATGTGTCTTTGGACACGGTGATCATCAAACAGGATTGCAAGTGATCACTCGTGACAAGTGACAACTACTCTGATCAGCATCGTATCTGATGTTGTGTCAGATTCGTGCAACCCCAATACCCCGACCATTCCAAGCATCCAAAACCTCCCGACCATGCTAAATCATCCCAACACATGCAACCAACCCCCACGACCGGTCCGCCTGCGGCGCTTTGCCTGAGCCATTTGTGTGTATGTCTTGTGTTTGAGGATCCGTTTGGGGGTAGTGTTAAAATTGTTAAAGGCAACCAAGGGTAAAGCCGCCATCTTGGGAGTTCCCTTTTCAAAGGTACTGGGGAACCCTGCGGGGTTGCGGAACTATCTTAAGTCGCCTATGTTCTGCTGCCCTGCACCACATAAATATACATGGGGGGGTTCTTGGTCCTGTATTGGGTGGCAACCACAGAGGTTGCGCGAAGTGGCCTAAGCAGTTTACCCCGGTACATAATCCCCTCCATAATTGGACACTCCCCCCTCAAGCGGTTGATTCGCTTTTTTGCACACCGTAACCTTCCAACCTGAGCAACCTGATGGGGTTGTCTTAGTTCTTGGGAAATCTCCAAAGTGGGGCTGCTTTCCTTTTGGCTCCCTTTTAACCAACTCCAACTTGCTTGCTGTTGAACCCTCTGCCAAAAACAACGCGCTTGTCGGTCCAATGGAAGATCCTCCGTCTCCATGAAAGTTAAAGTCCAAAGAAAACTAGCCATAAAGCCAAAACCCAACCCCCACCCCCCTCCCAATAGTTTGGGGTACCCTCAAAAAAGGCACGCTAACCCCCCCCCATTTTTTAGCACCCTCAGAATTTCAAAACCGGCGCTTGATGGTCTCCGAGTTGCTACTCTGGCAGGGCTGCAGAACGGAGGACACACCCCTGCTGAGGTCGCTGAAGACCTGAGCGGCGGGTCCAGGTAGGTCTCAAAATTGGGAGGCCCCTCCAGGGATTCATGGAATTGTTGAAGCCCAACCCCATGTTCCAGATGTCCTCTTAAACCTCTTACCAACTCGGAGCACAGTTCCGTGGCCAACATGTGGTCTTGTCGCAAAAAAGAAGGGGCCTACCCAAAAATAGGTGGCTTCCTTTTGGTTTCCCTGTAAAACCAACCGCAAAACGAGACCCTAAAAAAACACCCACATACAGCAGCAGTCATTTCTTGCTTGAACAGACCCTTCAAAATTTTCCAGCGCCTATCGACAATGTGGAGGGGGCCGATAGTCGAGCAGCATGCGCAACCACCAGACACATACCCCCACCACTACGTCACTGGAAGCTTGGGCCTTCCGGAAAAGGGGCCGTGCCTGTTTAACATATCCGATGCCTGGAAACAGCACCCCCTGTTCTGGAAGGCGAATGATATTCAAAGTACTTGTGCCAGCCGAAGTTGGAACAAACGACGGACACCCCCCCTCCTTTGTTGCACTGGCTTTGGAGCGAACCGCATCCATTCAAAACAACACCGGTATCACCGAACAATTGGGTCATTCAATCAAGCAGTTTACAATCATCCAGCGGCAATCGACAATGTTCCAGACAACACTCCGCATGATCGGCTTCATGAGTGCAACAATGACAGCATCATCAATACGTCCCTCAGTGCTTGACATGTCTTGACACACATCACTCATTTCCTGAGTTGGCACAAGTCTGAACTTTTAATTTACCAGCAAACTAGGCTGGAAATGGGACCCCAGCAAACACATATCTTTTTTGCCTGGCTAGTGGAAAACAAAGGGGACCCCAAAAAAGCAAAAAAGGAAAAAGGGGAACTAATTCTGGGGAGCTAATTCTGGGGATGGTGCAAACCCAAAAAGTGGCTGAAGTTCAGGAACTCAGAAGGTGAGTTAAAGCAAAAACTAAAATCCAGGGCGCGTAGCTGATTCAGCTCACGCAACCCACCAAGCCCTTGACTTCAACCCTGACATCCGCAAGTCATGTGAGCTGTCAGAATTACTTGGGTGTGGCTCAAAATTAAACAGGGGGGGGTTACGCAGGTTTTGGTCCATGTTTCCACTTCCCAGGGTTCCATTTTTTGGTACCGGTTTTCGGAGCCACAGCCACATGCTCCCCTAAGAGGACATGGGAAATTTAGTGAGTCCCCTGGTTGTTGTAGGGAAATTTAGTGAGCCCCCCATGTTTTTCCCAAATGGACCATAGCAGTAGTTTTGACCGAACCTCATGTAGCTTTGTGGTACGGGCGAAGCAAGATTCTCTGGTTGGGACGCACTCACCATTGTTCAGTTTGGCGAAGCAAATGGACCGGAGTGTGGTGTGGCTCAAAATTGAAATGGAAGAGCCTGGGTTACGCTGGTTTTTGGTTTCATTTTGGTTTCATTTTGTTGAGCTTGTTGAGTCAGCCAGCTTATAAATGATTCACAAGCCTAGAGCAGGGGACCGGTAGCAAGCCAGAAAACAGATTCGGTCGCCCAATTCTTTCGCGAGGTCGAATTTAAGGAAGGAAGGAAAGGCAGTTGTGAACGTGCAAACCCCACCCCTGGCTGTGCAACACATTGCAACTAGCAACCCGGGATGATTACTCTCCCGAAATTTGACATCAGGATTTCCCAACATCACTCCCTTGCGAGGATTCTTCTGCTGGGGCAGCCCTTGTCTTTTCTCGCAAGAACAGCAAATATCACATCTTCACTACTTAAAGCCCACAAATTCAGGTGGCAGTTCAGCAAGCTACCAGGGACACCAAGGCCTGAAAAAACATCCTTCGATCTGGGCTCCCGGGGCGCGAGTCGTGGAGCAGTAGGCGTGGAAGATCCACATGTTCGACTGCAAGGCGCTGCGGTTGGCGTCCTGAAGCAAGCGCTACTGTGGATTGGCGATTTTTTTGCTGGGACCCACAGGCAAATTGGATTCGGGATCCAGTTCCGTACCGGCAAGTCAGAGTTTGTGATTTCGGGACATTTGATGGGACCCACCTACTATGTCCCTGACCAGAACTCTGATCGCTAGCTCCGTAGCTGGCTCCTCAAAGGCAAAATTGGGCAACGGCTCCCTTCCAACCACCAACTAGCCATGGGTCAATGACCATGATCGGTGCCATCTATGCAAAGGACTCCTACGGTTAGTTAGAAGTTGGTGGATGAAAACGATTATGACCAAACTGAACCCACTGTCGTGTGAGTCAGAATCAAAACTCTAAGCGGAACCATGTAAAGAATTAGAAAGGCGGCTACACCCATTGATGGTTGGGATTACACCGAGAAAGCGCAACAAAGCATCCAATAGGGTTTCAACTCACATTCTTTGCCCGCGATCGACACATGGTTGGTTTGCAGTAGGGAGGCAATCCAGCCCAAGACCTCCAGGAAACCTTCTCAAACTTAGAGCTGATTCTTACAAGGGTTCTGAGAGCCATTCTGAGCGATAATGGAGGGCGCCCTAATGGTTCTCCAGAGTTTGGTCTGTGCATGAGGGGAACCTGTGAATGGTTCAGGCTGATTTGGCACAGCGCGGAAACCTGAAGAAGAGTTTTGCACAGAACCGCGTCGGCCAGAACTTCCTCAGAACTGCCCAAACCTAAGATTGGCAAAGGACCCTGTAGCTGTCGCTTGTGCAGACCAGGATGGCCCAACTGTGGATGGTTGCGAAATCCAATCAAGCACCACTTGGACGCCATGGGCAACCATGCTTGGTTGGCATTTACAAGGGGATCATCATTCCCCACCCTGGGATTCAATCCACAATGAAAGCAATGGTTGGGTTCATATACCCTGGGTCCTCCAGTAGAGAGGTTAGAATAAGGGTACCTGTATTTTCTGTAGTCTATTTTAGTAGGGGAACCCTCTCCCAAAAGGTAAAAGGGCACCTAGCTGGGGGACCTAGTATAGCTGCTGGGGGACCTAGTATAGCTAAGTTGGCCAACACAAGCGGATGCTCCAGGCCCAAAACCAAAACGGGGCTCGAGGTGGATCAACAAAACCGCTTACCTGGACCCTCAAACGACCAAACGGGTGATCTCCAGATGTATGGTTAGTTTGAGGGTCCAGGTATGTAGTTGTTTCAAGTTTGCGTGGATTGGCCAGGAAAAAGCACAAAAGAACAACAACATCAAGTGACAAAGGCCGGGGCGTGAAAGGGGGATTTGCAACATGATGCACAGTGGATCCCAGTTGCCATAGGCAACCAGTCATGGTCGTTTTGGCCAGAAAAAGTGATTCCCTCGGTGAACTACAGGGACATGGAACCACTGGAATGGGTTTGATGACTCAGCCTCTTTCCAACAAAAGTGGACAATCCGGACCTTCCCCGAAAGGATCGAGCGGACTGCGATCTGCTCCTGGTCCCCGCAGTTGCGACACCGGAACCAGGACAGCTGGTGCTGCCCCGTAAAGCACTTCACACCTCATGTTTTTGAGGACTGGCAGAAACCATTTTGCTTGCCAACGAAACCAACATAAAACAAGCGCTGCTGGCTGTGTGGAAAACAACATCCGGATATTCTTGTTTAACACAACATGACCTGTGATCAGCCCGATCTTCGTTCTTTCAGCGGCCCAGTTGTCAATTAAGTGCCTCTCAAAAGCAGCTGAGTAGATTGCAAGGACATGATCGTCATAAATCAATACCAGATTATGCCGAAAACCATGTGAAGACTATGGATGTCTGTCCCGTACTAAGCTTCGCTTACCCCGAACATTGAAGAAGGGTCTCATGTGATCCAGCGATGGCCTATTGCCAACACCCGTGGCGTCATGCCTTCCTTTCAGCGGGCTTAAACTGGGCAGCATGTTTGGCGAACAGCACCGTATCATCCAAATGGCTGCCACCCCAAACCAAAGCTACCCCGAGAGGAAGAGGATACCCTTAGATAGTGGCTGTATATGCAATCAACCGCGTGGGCGCAGCTTCGGAAACCCTCGGATAATTTAGGGTTCCACGGTGGGAGAGTGGGAGAATCCATTTTGTTTGCTTTTTGGGCTTCAAACGGAAACCAAACGGAAACCAAAGAACACCCCTATGTTTTCGAGTTGGTGCCTCCTTAGTCTTCATAGTGAACTCACTCAGTTGCAGGAATTCAACCAAAGCTCTTGAAGCGAATTGGGAGTGTCCCATTGCGCCATCTTTGGATCCCACCAGTCAACATTCCGAAAAACTAGACCCCGGTTATCCCGAAAGCATGTGACACAAAGGTGATGCAAGAATGTTGTGATGAACACAGGTGTGATGTTGCTCACGTATCCAGGCACTACTCTATGAAATCCTTAAACCTACACTTACGCACGCCAAACAAGCATCTAAGCAACCCATTTCTAGCATGCAGCAATCGCGTTGCAGCATTGCCTCATGATCCATGTGCAATGCTAAGCGGCGAACGTGAAACTGCGCAACCAAGCCCACGCTTTCAACACTGAGCTGCGCGCGCGCCGCTGTACAATCGCTCCGGCCTCGCTTGACAAATGCAACATGGTATATGATTATGTCTCTGTCTCTCTCTCTCTCTCTTTTTCTCTGTCCCTTTCTTCTTCTCTTTCTCCCTTTAGCTTTCTCCTTCCCTTTCTCTTTTGCGATTGTGCAGCGGGAGCTGCGGGAGTGCACTCGTACTACTTTTGTACGTAAAATTTGCGACTTTCGAGCTGGAGTTGCGGGAGTGCGCTTCGTGTACTACTTTGTACTTAAAAACTGCGATTTTGCAGTCGGTGCTCTGGGAATGCTCTTCGCGTACTACTTTTGCACTTTAAACTTGCAAGCTTCAGCTGGAGCTGCAGGAATGTACTTTGCGTACTACTTTTGTACTTGGAAGTTGCGCATTTCGAGCCGGAGCTGCAGGAGTGCGCTTTGCGTACTACTAGTGGACGTAAAACGAAACGGGAGTGCACTTCGTGCGCTACTTTTGTACTCAAAATTCCATTTTCCAGCCGGAGCTGCGGGAGCACAGTTTGCGTGCTATACTTTGGTACTTGAGAATTGCTATTCTTGAGCCGGAGCTGGCGCGGACCAGGGGGGAATCGAACGCCGCGATTGCGAAAGCAGGCGCGCAAACCGCGAGACAACTTTCAAAGACCATTGGCCATGTATTAAAAATAGCACGCCACAGCGAGAGCGATTCGACACGCACAATCTCCGCAAAGGGTTCGTCGGCGAAGTTGCAAATTCGCACGGCGCCACTGCGAGAGCGATTCGACACGCACAGTCTCCGCAGAGGGTTCGCGGGCGAAGTTGCAAACTCGCACAGCGCCACAGCGAGAGCGATTCGACACGCACGGTCGCCGCAGAAGGTTCGCGGGCGAAGTTGCAAATTCACACGGCGCCACAGCGAGAGCGATTCGACACGCACACTCCGCAGAGGGTTCGCGAGCCACGTAGAAAACTCGCACGGCACCGCAGCAAGAGCGATTCGACACGCACAATGTTCATCCCCCCAGCGCCTGCCATACCCACCCCCGGCTAAGAAAGAAGATAACTGTGATTTAGGCTGCGCAAGTGAGGCTGCGTAAGTCAGGCTGCGTAAGTGAGGCTGCGTAAGTCTGCGTAACTCATGCTGCATAAGCTAGGCTGCGTATGTCCGGCTGCGCAAGCTAATTAGGCTGTGTAAGTCAGGCTGCGTAAGTCAGGCTACGTAAATCAGGCTACGTGAGTCAGGCTGCGTAGGTCAGGCTGCGTAAGTCAGTTTGAGCAAGTCACGCTGTGTAAGCTAGGCTGCGTAGGTCACGCTGCGTAAGTCACGCTGCGTAGGCAGCCAGGCTGTGTAAGTCAGGCTGCGTAAGTCAGATTGACTAGGTCACGCGGTGTAAGCTAGGCTGCGTAAGTCACGCTGCGTGAGATAGGCTGCGGAAGTCAGGCTGTGTAAGTCAGGCTGCGTAAGTCAGTTTGAGTAAGTCACGCTGCGTAAGCTAGGCTGCGTAAGTCAGGCTGTGTCAGTCACGCTGCGTCCGTCTTTTCCAAAGAACCCTTCGCGATGCTTTCGGGAAAAACAGTCGGGGTCCCAACATTCCCCCAAACAAAAACAGACGCACCCATGCGGAAGAGGAAATAACTCCCTCGCCTAACCGCCCGCCCAAAAGCCGTGCGGTCGCTCCTCACCGCGAAACGGACCGAAGCGCCGGGCGCCGGGCACACCGGGGCGGAGCACTTGGGGCAGCGGTGGTCGAAGAAGGACTCCAAGGCCTGAAATACATCCAGAGGTACCGGAGCACGGATTCCAACCACTAAGCCCAGGCATCACAAACTGGGGTTGATTAATATGGGGTCAACATTACCCTCAGTTGTTCAGTGACCCTGGAAAACAGGGAACCTGTTTTTTTTGGAAGACCATTTTTAGTGAGCAGCCACCAAAAAAAGGGGAAAAAGGGTGCCACTGAACAACTGAGAGAGGTACCGGAGCACGGATGGCCCCTGGGTGAAATGGGTGTGTGAACTTGCTTTACCGCCAAAACAAGGCACCCTCCAAAAAAAGGAGGGCTGGTCTTGTTTTGTGCGTCCCCTTTTTAGGTTGGTTCAGAGGGAACCTGTAAACTTCAAAGGCAACCGAAGGCATGATGGTGGCCTCGCCGCATCTTCCTAGTTGGCTCGACGCGTTTCTAACCAGATTCCTGTTGGTTCCTGGACTGGCTAAGGGTGGCACTTGTTTACTTGCACCTCTGCTGGCGGTCTTCGATGTCATGACAGGCAGAACACAGACACAACAACAACAACAACAACAACGACTACGCCTAGTTTGTTTTTGATTCTCCGAAACCTTGTCTGAGCTCGTCGGGTCTGACTAAGGAAACAAGCCAGTCGCAACCCTCACTTGCCCAAAGGACCTGGAAATAGAATGTTCCCCTTTTGGCACCTCCACATGGGAAAACCAAAAGGTGAAAAGGTCGATTCGTTTCGTTTTGGCAACTGAGTCCCCCCTGGCCAACCACAAAACTAGCGCTCGCTTGGTTTGCTCTGCCTGGCTGCAGCGCGTGCATTTTTGCCGGCGAGCCTGCGCCTGACATCTTGGCAATTGCTTCGGGGCGCCGAGGCACCCGATTTTCCTTTGGAGGACCATGGGGTCCTTGGCTCCCGTTCACCAAGCCATGATTGAGGCTAACCCGTCAAACTGGGCCCTTTTAGTATGGGCTTTTAGCTTGGGCACCGGGACCTTTGAATACGTAACTCCCTTCAGTGGATTGGGCAAAAGCACTTGTCAAGTGGACTGGCCAGACAAGTCTCAACTTGTTGTTTACCACTAAAATACCAAAAAGTTTAAAAGTCCAGCAACTCAGGAAGTGAGAAAAAGGTGCAAAGAACCTCCAGCGCAATGTTGAACCCCTGCATTAAGGACCCCCCGTTTACGAAACTCCCTCAAGAAAGGCCTTGCTTTGCCTCGACTCATGGGCAAGTCCGCCTGGCCAGTTGACTTAGCTACATCAACGCCAAAGGTACACCTAGCTGAGTCTGGAAACTGGCCAGGAAAATAAAGCTGGTTACTAGGTATAACCTAGGTTGGCGGACTTGGCTAAGTCCGCCAAGGGGGCAAGTGCTTAGCAAACCAGCCGAACATACAAAATTGATGGGTTGCCCTGGTAAATGGGGCGAATTTCACCAATCTAAACCAGCGAAACCCGTTTATGCTCAACCAAACTAACCCAAAAAACGGACACCGAAACCAGTAGAACCACCGATTTTTTCTCTAAACCGATCAAAAGGAGGATTCCCCTCCAAAAGTGACGATTCCAACCACCAAACCCAGGATATGAGCAAATTGATTTTGATGAGTTTGGGGTCAGCATTCTGCTCGGGAGAGTGGATTTCCACGCACCCTGCCGAAGGTCTGCGACTCCTCTGGCCCGCCTCCCGGCAAAGCTCCCAGCCGCACCTCGGCGGTTCGCCCGCCGAAGCCGACAAAGCACTTCGGTGGGATCAACTTGGGCCTGGAAACACAAGATGACCTCCATGTGTGGGTTGATCAAAAGGTCCTTCACACGTGGTGGCCATTGGGGAAACAACAAAAAATCATGACTTTCACCACTGAATGGGACAAGTTACCCATGGGGTCATTTTGGGGCCAGGAATATTGATCAACCCACATGTGCGTTTTCGCCCCCTGCCAAAAAAAAGAAGAAGTATGTCAAAGGTCATTAATCAAAGGAAGTTTAACAAGAAACTTCCGTAGTACTGGAACTAAATGAGCTAGCTGCTTTGACATATAGCTATGACAGGTAGCTAGCATGACAAATAGATAGCTTTGACATATAGCTAGCTTGACAGATAGATAGCTTTCCAATAGGCTTGCATGACAGATAGATAGCTTTGACATATAGCCAGCTTAACACGTAGATAGCTTTCTCAAGTATAGATTTCGTGGCAGGCGCAGCACTTTCGCAAGCACTCTCTGCGAGCTGGGGGATGGCAAGATGCAGAAAACGTTGGCGCTGTGCGTGAATTGGGCTTCCGGACTGTGCGCAAACCACCTCGGCTGCGACGCCTGTACGGAGGCGGTCTCGGAACGGTCTCGGAACGGTCTCGGAACGGTCTCGGAGACGGGCCCATTGGCACGGCCGCGCGAAGGTTTCGCAAGGTTTGAATTGCGTGGCAGGCGCAGCACTTTCGCAAGGTCAAGTATAGATTTCGTGGCAGGCGCAGCACTTTCGCAAGGTC